TTAAATTTTTGCATACCCTAATCAACTTCCACTAATATTCCCTGGGTCCCACCATATGTCATTAGCCTGAACTAGAGAAAGTTATAATTTCTACATTTTCTTTCTCTAGATTCATACCTTTCAGGTGTTAACACATGTGCACTGTCCTTTGAAAGCACCAATTAACTGTTCCATTCTGGAAGCTTTCAGTCTTCCCTAAGTAAATGCAAAGCTCTGCTTTTTTTCACTCAAATCTTCCTGTTAGCAAGGAGAGCTAAATTCATCTAAGTCTTTGATGTCATCAGTACTACTTCACAGAGTGGACAAGATAAAACAAAGGAAAAAAACCTCAAACTTGTCCATTTAACATCTTATTAGCAGCCAAAAAAAAAAAAAAAACTGCCGGAAAATTTGTCTAATCTTGAAACTCCACAATTGTCTGTTGACATGAATCATCCAAATTATCACTGAACCCTCAAACTACCGATAGAAGATACTAAACTACCACCTGGAAACCCACTTGCAGAGCTTTTCATACGGACTAAAGCTTGGGGCCTACCCTACACCAGGATTTCTCAACTTTGGCCCCATTAACATTTTAGCCTGGATAATTTTTTGTTATGAGGGGCTTTCCTGTACACTACATGACATTTAGATACATGACTGGTCTCTACCTACTACAGGTCAGTATCACAACACCCTCCCCATCATCCACTCACTGTTATAACCAAAAATATCTCTAGACATTGCCAATGTCCCCTGGGGAGGAACAAAATTGTCCCCATTTTAGAGCCATGGTACTAGAGCAATTATATCAGAATTTCTAGGGGTGAAACCTGATTTTTTTAAATAAATTTATTTCAGGTTAATGTGAGTGTACAAATAACCAGGTCAAAATATTTGATTTTGTTAGGTAGAGTCCCTCTTGTGGTTCTGTCCCACACACAAAAGGTGTGCCAAACACCCCACCCTGTGCTCAGTGAGAGCACCCCCAATCTTCTCCACCTCCCCTTCCTTTGTTATCCCTCCCTCCAACTTGAATTGAAATGAGTTTTTCTCCTAGGTGGGCATGCATGAGATCGTCTACTGGCTTCATATTAGTATCGAGTACATTGGATAATTGCTTTCCCATTCATGTGGTACTTCACTAAGAAGAATGTGTTTCTACTGCATCCAGAATATTAACAAAAGATGTGAAGTCACCATCTTTTTTTATTGTTAAATAGTATTCCATGGTGTGCATGTACCACAATTTGTCAATCCATTCCTGAGTTGATGGGCAATTTGGATTGTTTCTTCAAATATCTCAAATTAGATCTCCCTTTTGAGCCCACAATCCCACTATTAGGCATCTACCCAGAAGAAAATAAATAATTTTACCATAAGGACATTTGTACTAGATTGTTCATCTCATCTCAATTTACAATCGCCAAGATGTGGAAACCTGATATTCTTTAAAAGCTCTCCCCACATAAGTGCGATGTGCAGCCATGGTTGAAAGCCTCTACCTTTATGCAGATCTCTGAGCCTCAGCTTTCTCATCAGTAAAATGGGAATGATGAGAATATCTACTTAATAGACTTACTCTAAAGATCAAATAAGATAATATATGTAGAAATGTTTTATGCATTATTAAATAAAGGTGATGTGGACTTTTCCCCACCTATTGTGAAACACTAATCCAAGGGTTGTTAAACTACAGACTGTAGGCCAAATCCAGCTCATTATCTGTTTTTGTATAACCTATGAACCGAAAGAGGTTTGTACACTTTTATATGGCTGACCAAACATCAAAATAAGAATTTTTTTGACTTGTGAAAATTATATGAAATTCAAATTTCATTATCTATAAATAAAGTTTTGTTGAAACAGAGGTGTGTCCATTTAATTATAGATTGTCTATGGATCCTTTTGCATCTAAAGTTGAGTATTTATGATAGAGACCTTATGGCCCACAAAGCCTAAAATATTCATTACTTAGGCCTTTACATAAAAAGTTTGCTGACCTCTACATGAGCTGAATTCACTAACGGAATTAGTTACTTCCTCTTTGAGCTTTTAGGGAGAATGAAGGAAGGGAGGAAAGGCAAAAGTGAAACTATGAACTTCTATTCCTAAACCGTAAGAAGCTGAGACAACATAAAGACATCACAATCCACTGAAAGACAAAATATAATTTCTACCTCTAAATTCAATTCCTTTTTGACAAAAAAAAAATTCTATGTCCATTTCATTGGCAACACCTTTTTGATAGCCTGTCTTGAAAATTAAAATGCTTCATATTTGTTTGCGTTTGCTGAAATTCTGATTTCCCAGAAATTATTAAAAGCTCTGAGCTTGACTTCTTCCACATAAGGGACTACAAACTATTGCCTGGAAATAGATCTTATTATTCACTGATTTTCTGAGTCTCATCTTAGTTTTTCTGATTTGGAAGACTATACCTGGCATATGGCAACACAAGCTGAAAATAATGACTATTATAGCAAGGTTATGCTGATCTGATTAAGGCAACTGCTTTTCTTACTGAAATAGTACAGATGAAATAATATGATCTTGGAGTTATTTCAAAATAATGGGGGAGAGTGGGTGGAGATGCACATGAAACAAGAGTAATTATGTCCTAATAATTGTTGAGGTTGAACAACAGGTATATATGTGTTTGTAGCAACATTATCTTTCATTTTTAATCTATTGCAAGATTTCAACATAAAGAAGCTACTTAATTAAGGAGAAAAAAATCTGCTTTGAGCACCAGATGAGGCCACAAACACTTTTAATCAAAAATCAAAGGTCTTCAATCTTCTTCTGAATCACCACTTTTAAGGTTTTGATTTGTTGAAACTTGAGCTAAAAAGAGACACACACCCCCAATACGTTAGTCCTTAGGAAAGTGTCTGATATAACATAGGGGCAAAATAAATATTTATTTAATGGATAAATTTTATGTCCTTTAGGCTCCAGGAGACTAATAATAACCATGATAGCAGTAATAACCAACATTTGTTGCGGATGTATTATGTGTCAGGTATTGGGTCAAACACTTGATATACATCATTATCTCATTTAATCCTCCCTACAAGTGTATAAATATAGCTTCAAAGAGTATAAATTTGTATTGTTTTATTCACTAACGTAAGCCCAATGCCTAAAGCATGACTGGTCCAATAAATAGCTCTTCATGAATGAATATAAAGTAAATACTATCATTATACTTTTTATACAGATGAGGAATCTGAGACTCAAAAAGATTAATATAACTCAAAAACCTCTCTTTTAATCACTAGCTACACTGACACTAATTCATGCTTTAAAGTCTTATATATCACTATAGCAGTGTGAACCAATGACCTCCAAGGGCCTTAAAAATACAATATAGATGGAGATATTTTGATAAAAAGCAACTAGAACTAATAGAGTGTGGGGTGCATTTGAAAGAACTGCTTGGTGCATTTAAAAGAACTTAGATAATAAGACATCTCTCCCAGATTCCTGTACTTAAGATCATTGTGAAATTTTAGAAGCATTCCCATTAAAATAGGTTTTTAATGGGAATTATCCTTTAATTTCCAAGATAACTTCACCAAGAATATCCTATCACTACCATTATTTATCATTGTATTCGAGGTCATAGACAAAGATAGGAAAACAACTAATATCTGTTATAATTGGAAAGGAAGAGATAATATAATCATTTTTAGGCAAAGTAATAACCTATTTAAAAATCCATGAAAAGCTAAAAAAACATTAAAACTAAGAGAGTTTATAAGGGTGAGGGTTCAGAAGATGGCCAACTAGAGGCAGCTGTTGTCAGAAGCTTCTGTCTAGAAAGAGGAAAATTGGACTACATAAAATTCAGAGTACTTACTAGGAAAGAGTACAGGGAAAACTCTTGAAGAAATTGGCCTTGGAGAATGGTCCTTTATGAGAAGGGCCCCCCACCCTGGGCAATTGAAGTAACACCAAAAATATATTACTGGGATCTGATCAAACTAAAAAGCTTCTGCACAGCCAAAAATACAGTAAGTAAAGCAAGAAGACAGTCTTCAGAATGGGAGAAGATATTTGCAGGTTATGTTTCTCACAAAGGTCTGAGAACTAGAACTCAGACTAATTAATAAGAAAAGAATAAATAACTCCATTTCATTGTGGGCAAGGGACTTGAACAGAAGCTTCTCTGAAGAAGACAGGCACATGGCCTACAAACACATGTGAAAATGCTCATCATGTTTAATCATCAGAGAAATGCAAATCAAAACCACTTTGAGATATCATCTAACTCCAGTAAGATCAGCCCACATCACAAAATCCCAAAACTACAGATGTTGGCGTGGATGTGGAGAAAAGGGAACACTTCTACACTGCTGGTGGGAATGCAAACTAATACGTTCCTTTTGGAAAGATGTTTGGAGAACACTTAGAGATCTAAAAATAGACCTGCCATTCAGATCCTATAATTCCTCTACTAGGTATATATCCAGAAGACCAAAAATCACATTACAACAAAGATATCTGTACTAGAATGTCTATTGCAACCCAATTCATAATTGCTAAGTCATGGAAGAAGCCCAAATGCCAATTGACCCATGAATGGATTAATAAATTGTGGTATATGTACACCATGGAATATTATGCAGCCTTAAAGAAAGATGGAGACTTTACCTCTTACATGTTTACATGGATGGAGCTGGAACATATTCTTTTTGACAAAGTATCTCAAGAATGGAAGAAAAAGTATCCAATGCACTCAGTCCTACTATGAAACCAATTCATAGCTTTCTTATGAAAACTATAACCCAATTCTAGCCCAAGAAGAAGGGGAAAGGGGAGAGGGAACAGAGGGGAGGAGAAGGATGGGTGGTGGGAGGGTAAGTGGTGGGACCACACCTACGGTGCATCTTACAGGGGTATATGTGAAATTTACTAGGTGTAGAATATAAATGTCTTAACACAATAACTAAGAAAATGTGGTGAAGGCTATGTTAACCAGTTTGATGAAAATATTTCAGGCCCCTGCAAACATGGCGCTGCCAGTGGTGCGGACCCTGCGGGCTATGGCCTGTAGCCTGGACTAGGCCTCCGCAACCGCCTGGCCCTGCCTGCCCGCTGTGGTCCTGGAGGCTGGGAGCGGCTGCCATCCTGACGCTGCCCATGGGACCGCTCTGCTCGCAGTGCATAAATTCACGGAGAAACATGAATGGGTGACAGCAGAGAATGGTGTTGGGACGGTGGGAATCAGCAATTTTGCACAGGAAGCTTTGGGGGATGTTGTTTACTGTAGTCTACCTGAAGTTGGGACAAAATTAAACAAACAAGATGGGTTTGGTGCTTTGGAAAGTGTGAAAGCTGCTAGTGAACTCGGTTCTCCTTTATCAGGAGAAGTAACTGAAATTAATGAAGCTCTGGCAGAAAATCCAGGACTTGTCAACAAATCTTGTTATGAAGATAGTTGGCTGATCAAGAGGACCCTGAGTAACCCTTCAGAACTAGATGAACTAATGAGTGAAGAAGCATATGAGAGATACGTAAAATCTATTGAGGAGTGAAAATGGAACTCCTGAATAAACTAGTGTGAAATAACTTAATCCAGCACAGTTGTCTTTAATTAGTGGAGGTTAGGTGACTTAAAATAGCAACTACTCTCAACACTGCTAATGAAAGAAAATAGTCCTTAACTTTCTAATGGTTGTAGATAAATAAAATATACATCTTTTTCAAAATACGCTATGATTTTCAGACTAGCCTCTAGTATTCATATTTCAGGAAATTATCCATGGTAAAAACTAGTTATAAAAATTATGTAATGAAGGGATAACATTGTTATCTTAAGCCTCATATAATATTGTAACTTGCTTTCATCCATACCAGGATTTGAGTTGGAATACTTAATGATCTTTCCATTGGAATTAACTGGGAGTGGAGAAGTTTTCTTGGTTGTACAGTGGTATTATATTAATTTTGTAATACACTGAATTTGCTGGTGCTATTTTTATACAGTGAGCAACAGCTTTGCAGCAAAATAATAAAATATTCAACTTCTTCATTAAAAAAAATTTCAAATTGTATATAAAACCATCACATTGTACCCCATGATTGCATCAATGTACACAGCTATGATTTAATAAAAAGAAAAGACACAATACCGTTCACAGTAGCTTCAAAGAAAATGAGATAACCTAACAAAGGTTGTGAAAGATCTTTACAGAGAGTCCTACAAAAACTCAAGAAAAGAAATATCAGATGTTAACAAATGAAAGAATATACCACTGGGAATAATCAACATTATTAAAATGTCTGTGCTACCCAAAGAAATCTACAGATAGGGGGGTGCCTATGGCTCAAAGGAGTAAGGCGCTGGCCCCATATCCCGGAGGTGGCAAGTTCAAACCCAGCCCCAGCCAAAAACTGCAAAAAAAAGAAAAAAGAAAAAGAAAAGAAATCTACAGATATAATGCAGTCCCCATTAAATTACCAATGTCATACTTTGAAGAATGTGAAAAAATAGTACTTCATTTCATATCCAAACTGGAAAAAAACCTGAATAGCCAATGCTATTCTAAGTAATAAAAATGAATCTGTAGGCATCATGTTACCAGACTTTAGGTTATACTACAAGTATACAGTGATCAAAACAGCATCATACTGGCACAAAAACAGAGATATAGATTTATGGTATAGAATACAAAACTTAGAGATAAACTTAGTCACATCACCATCTGACCTCTGATAAACCAAACAAAAGCATACCCTGGGGCAAAGAATCTCTATTTAATAAATGGTGCTGGGAGAACTGGTTAGCCACACGTAGAAGATAGAAAATGGACCTATATCTCTCTCCACTAACAAAAATTGACTCTTGGTGATTGGCTTATTGAAGATCAAATGACGGTAAGTAGCTGGGTTCATCTCTTGGTTCTCTATTCTGTTCCATAAATCAACCTCTCTGTTTTTGTGCCAGTACCATGCTATTTTGATCATTATCAATTTATAGTATAGTCTGAGATCTCATAGCATGATTCCTCCTGCTTTGTTTTTATTTCTGAGTAATGTTTTGGCTATTCGAGGCTTTTTCTGATTCCTTATAAAACAAAGTATTATTTTTTATGGTCTTTAAAGTATGATAATGGTGCTTTAGGGATTGCATTAAAATTGTACATTGCTTGGGGTAGTATGGACATTTTAACAAAGCTGATTCTTCCCAGCCATGAGCATGGTATGTTTTTCCATTTGTTAACATCTTCAGCTATTTCTTTTCTTAGAGTTTCATAATTCTCTTTATAGAGATCTTTCACATCCTTTGTTAGGTTAACTCCCAAATATTTCATCTTCTTTGGCACTACTGTGAACAGAATAGAGTCCTTGACTATTTTTTCAGCTTGACTATTGTTGGTATATATAAAGGCTACCGATTTATGAGTGTTGATTTTGTAACCTGAGATGCTGCTGTATTCCTTGATCACTTCTAAGAGTTTTGTAGTTGAATTCTTGGGGTTTTGCAGATATACAATCATATCACCTGTAAACAGTGAAAGTTTGATCTCCTCTGACCCTATATGGATACCCTTTATCTCTTTCTCTTGCCTGATTGCAATGGCTAAGAATTCCATTACAATGTTAGAGAGCAAGTGGAGATAATGGGCAACCTTGCCTGGTTCCTGATCTGAGTGGAAATGTCATCAATTTTACTCCATTCAACATAATATTGGCTGTGGGTCTGCTGTAGATGGCCTCTATCAGTTTAAGAAATGTTCCTTCTATACCTATTAAAAGATGTTGGATATTATCAAAATCTTTTTCTGCATCAATTGAGAGAATCATGTGGTGTTTGCTTTTTATTTTGTTAATGTGATGTATTATATTTATAGATTTACGTATATTGAACCCAGCCTTGAGACCCTGGGATAAAACCCCCTTGGTCATGGTGTATAATTTGTTTGATGTGTTGCTGGATTCTGTTTGCTAGGATCTTACTGAATATTTTTGCATCAAGATTCATTAGAGATATTGGTCTATAATTTTCTATTCTTATTGGGTCTTTTCCTGGTTTGGAGATCAGGGTCATATTTGCTTCGTGGAATGTATTGGTAAGTATTTCCTCTTTTTTCTATGTTTTGGAAAAAGGTTAAGTAATATAGGTACTAGTTCCTCTTTAAAGGTTTGGTAGAATTCTGACGTGAAGCCATCTGGTCCCGGCTTTTCTTTTGGGGGAGATTTTGTATAGTTGATGCTATTTCAGAATGTGATATAGACCTATTCAACATTTCCACTTCTTTCTAGCTAAGTTTAAGAAGGTGACATGCTTCCAAGTCTTAGTCTATTTCCTTCAGATTTTCAAATTTCTGAGAACAGAATTTTTTTGTAATAATCATTAATGGTTTTTTTAATTTCTGAGGAATCTGTTGTTATTTCATCTTTGTCATTTCTGATTGATGAAATTAAAGATTTTACTCTTTTGTTTCTGGTTAGGTTTGCCAAAGGTTTATCTATTTTATTACCTTTTCAAAAAACCAACTCTTTGATTTATTGATCTGTTGTATAAGTCTTCTGTTTTCAATTTCATTTAATTCTGCTCTAATTTTGGTTATTTATTTTCTTCTGCTGGGCTTTGGGTTGGAATGTTCTTCCTTTTCCAATTGCTTGAGATGTCATTAAGTTGCTATCATCCTCTCTTTTCATCCTCTTGAGGAAGGCTTGCATTGCTATAAACTTCCCTCTTAGGACTGCCTTTGCGGTATCCCAGAGGTTCTGGTAATTCATGTCTGCATTATTGTTTTGTTCCAAAATGTGGTAATATCCTTCTTAATCTCATCTATGACCCAGCTATCATTCAGCATAAGGTTATTTAGCTTCCATGTTTTTGTACAAGTCTGCAGATTCTGTTGTTGCTGAGTTCAACTTTTATTCCATGATGGTCCAAGAAGATGCAAGGAATAATTTGTATTCTTTTAAATTTGCTGAGGTTAGACTTGTGACCTAAGATATGATCAATTTTGGAGGATGTTCCATAGGCTGATGAGAAGAATGTGTACTCAGTTTTGTTAGGATAAAATGTTCTGTATATGTCTGTTAAATCTAAATGTTGAATGGCTAAGTTTAAGTCTAAAATTTCTTTGCTTAGTTTCTTATTGGAGGATCTATCCAACACTGCCAAAGGG